TTAACAAAGAAATCCACTTTGGTGCTTATTGGCTACTAATGATGTGATCTTGTGCATTTATTATACCAAGTACTTTTACATTTCCTTGATGATACTAGACTTGCATACATACCGAATTCAGGTTTAGTTGATTGATTGCAGTTCTAAGTTCCTCTCACAACATTATATCTCTCATGTATGAGACATCATTAAATGCAGACATTTTCTCTCTCCTCCTGTTGTGACATGAGAGCTCAGACTTAGTTGTAAAAATATTTATGATGCAAGAGAAAATAAATGGCCAAGCCAATGTATGTAAATGTTGATAATGATATTAAATATTCTTTGATAACTAGTGTGAGTGTGTTTTGTTTTTTCCAATATAAAAATTCAGGGGGAAAATGAGTTTTGGTTGAAAAGCTGGGCTAAATTGTATAATTTGTAGTACAGTTTCTGTTGCGGAAACCTATGGTACACCATATGTATTTCAACCGTATACGCATACTGAAACCTTGCGTAAACCTCAAGTTTCAGTTGCGGAAACCTATGGTACACCATATGTATTCCAACCGTATACGCATACTGAAACCTTGCGTAAACCTCAAGTTTCAGCAAGTTTCAGTTGCGGAAACCTATGGTACACCATATGCATTTCAACCATATACGCATACTGAAATCTTGCGTATACCTCAAGTTTCAGCAAGTTTCAGTTGCGGAAACTATTTGGATTCGTGGACACCTTTGGTTTCCGCACTGCGGAAACTTGATGAAACTTGAAGTTTCCGCACTGAAACTTTGCGGAAACTATTAGTAACCTTAAGTTTCCGCAGAGTTTCAGTAGAGTTTCAGCCATGCGGAAACTGTATTTTTCATCCAGTGATACGATATATCATTGGGAGCTTGAGATAAAAGATACAACAGGGTCTGACACATCTGTTTCATACTTGGATATTATACTTGAAAAAAAAACATTATTGGTGAACTAACACCCAAGCTCTAGGATCAACGTGATGCCTTTAACTTTTCTATTGTCAACTTCCCTTACGTATGCAGCAATATACCTTCTTCAGCTGTATATGGAGTTTATATATCTCAGTTGTCTCGATACGCAAGAGCATGCTGTACGTATGAACAATTTCTAAAACGAGATAAATTACTGACAAGCAAGTTGATGAAACAATAACATCAGCAGTCTCGTCTATAGTCATCATTTCGTACATTGTAAGTTCTATGGTCGACACAATGACCATGTCAGCAAATACAATTTATCATTGAGGCAAATGCTGACTGAAGTTTTTCATATTAATTGTTCATCCATTATATATACAATGAACTGACGACGGATTTTTCGTTATTTCCCGATCATGACAAGGAGCACACGGTGGGTGTGACCGACAGGGGATGCTTACTCCCCCATGGCACCTGATCCCACCCTGATGTTTTTTGAGGTCCATGATTGCTCTGCTCCTGTTTTGTATTGTTGTATGGACTTTGGATCTTGAATATTTGTTTGTTATCTCCTTATGTTTCATTTATACTTAAGACTTGATGTTTATCTGATTTATTTTTTTTTTTTGATTTAATAAAGAGATTAATATTGTGAATATGTTATTTTAAAGATATATTGACTATGATGCACTATGCTATAAAAATACATTTGTTCGTAATATTTACCAGCAAATTTAAATCAGGTGAATTCAGTTAGTATATCAAATCTATAGAATCTCCCTACCACCCATAATACTGCGTGTATATTTACAAACAAGAATCCCCGATTAAAACCTCCTGTACACTGATGCAAAATTTTTAATTGTATACATACATGTACATCGCATTTATAAATGATTTGGATAAAAATAAAACACAGACACCGAATCAAAGCGCTATTTAAAAATCAGATACATCAACATAAAACCTTGCAAGAAGTCTAGAAAAGGCTTGACAGGCTATAGATTCTAAATTGTTCAAATCATGACCCCCGGGGGTTGGGCGGGGCCACAATGGGGAATCAAAGTTTAACATAGAAATATATAGGAAAAATCTTTAAAAATCTTCTTCTTAAGAACCACTGAGCCAGAAAAGCTGAAACTTATGTGGAAGCATCCTCAGGTAGTTTAGATTCTAAATTGTTCAAATCATGACCCCGGGGGGTTTGGGGGCCACAATGGGGAATCAAAGTTTTACATAGAAATATATAGGAAATAATCTTTGAAAATCTTCTTCTCAAGAACCACTGGACCAGAAAAGCTGAAACTTATGTGGAAGCACCCTATGGAAGTTTAGAAGCTAAATTGTTCAAATCATGACCCCCGGGGGATGGGCGGGGCCACAATGGGGAATGAAAGTTTTACATAGAAATATATAGGAAAAATCTTTGAAATCTTCTTCTCAAGAACCACTGAGCCAGAAAAGCTAAAACTTATGTGGAAGTATTCTGGGGTAGTGTAGATTTCAAATTGTCTAAATTATGATAAGTTGGTTAGGGTGGGGTCCCAATATGTATTACAAGGGGGAAATCTAGTAAAGAACAGTATGGTCAAAGCTTCTCAGGTGAGCGATGTGGCCCATGGGCCTCTTGTTTTTTTTGTTTTTTTTTGTAATTTTACTTACTGATGTTTATATAATGATAATAGCCACATGTAGATACCCTAGTCTATAGAATTATATATTGTTTAGAACGATGTAATGATTTATAGATATTAAAGAAAGTGTGAAACAAACATATTAGCTTCATATGCTTTATAATTGCATTCTATATGATTAGTTTTTTTCATGTTTTTAAAAACATTTTTTAGCATGTACTGCAAAAAAGGTACGGTACCCAATGTTCTGAAAGCTGCAAATGTGTGATGGAGAATACACGTGATTGTGATGACGTCACGGGAATGTATATCTGTCATGACAAGTGGAGAGGGACTTATTGCGATGATCACGTAGATGACTGTATGAATGGAACTGCTGTTTGCGACCCAAATCTCCAGGACTGCATCAGGAAAAGTGAAGAAAATAGATATTTTTGTTCTTGTCGCTATGGAACCAATGACACCGCTGGTGGAATGTGCTTGTGTAAGAAATAATCTTTCAAATATTTTTAAAGAATCATAATTGGAAAAAAATAAATCGAATTCTCATTTTCCTTCTTTTTTTATTGTAGCTCCAGTACAACCGTATACAACTAGTAAGTAATAAAGCTAAATGTAGTTTTAAATCTCTTTTTTTACTATGATTTTTATTTATCAACATATGAAAAAAAAACTAATCAAAAAGGTATATCAAAATAATTTTGACAAGATTAAGAAATAAAATGAAATATTTTTTACCATCTTGATAAAAGCTGCAAAAAAAAAAATAAAACTAATAAGTAATGTGGCTAAATGTAGTTTTAAATCTCTTTTTCTATGATTTTTATTTATCAACATATGAAAAAAATACTAATCAAAAAGGTATATCAAAATAATTTTGACAAGAATAAGAAATAAAATGAAATATTTTTTTCATATTGATAAAAGCTGCAAAAGAAACCAAGTTTAGGGCAGAAACAACCCTGGCCATTGATATTACACAAGAGGAGTTTCAAGAGAAGACAAAGGCTATTACAGATAATTTATTTAATATAGTGAGTGTTTTAAATAATTTGAAATCTTGTTATAGCTGTGTTCATGTAAATCACACGTGAATAATCTTCAATTCATTTTCAGTTTACTGAACATTTTAGGAAAAGAATACCCGGCTTTAATAAATTAATCATCTTATCTATCAGGTAAAATAAACATTTCAGATACGTGTGTTACTGCTCAAATATTTTGTACATTATAAACTTTCTTTAACATTCATATTCTATATTGTTTGTTTTAAATTTCAACTGTTCAAAGATTCTGGTTTTTAAGTCAAAATAGATTGTAGTCATTTTCATACGTCTCACTGAAAGTTTTGTTTTAGACTTGGAAGTTTGAACATCAAATATGAAATAATTGTAAGAAAAAATGAGACTCCACATGATCAGGCAAGCCAGTATATATGGGCCACAAAACAACTATTGGGAAAATCTGTTGTGTTGGAATCCCTGGACAGAAACAGCACGGTTTCCCTTGTCAATATTGTCAACGAGCAAGAGAAGGGCAAGTTTTTCTGTCATATACTGTGAAATCACTAATTTTCGTGGGGGGTTAATTTTCGTTGTTTAAAAGTACGAAGAGACCCACGAAGTATGTCCACCACGAAATGTAATTTATCTCATATATTACTACTAAACAATTCTTCAACCACGTATTCAAATCCTCCTAAACCAATATGTTTTCCTCAAACCACGAAAATTTGACCCTTTTAAAATATGTGACTTTACAGTATCTTCTGAATTATATCCTGTTAATTAATTCAAAATGTTATGATAAAAGAATAACAATTACTATTGATTGATTTTTCGAATCGGCATGATTTCAATGTCTCTGTGGTTAATTACAGTTGTTAAATGTATTGATCTGTTTTTGTTTTTAAAAAAATGGTAATATAAAAGAAAATTTCAACATAGACAATAAAGATTACATGTCTAATTGTGTTTTACATTTTCACAGAACTGGTATTAGATAATGCGGACAATCAATGTGAATTCCTGCAACACATATTCCCGTGTTCTGATGGAGAGATCTGTGTTCAAACCTCGGATCCTGCTTCTTGTTTGTAAGTTTTCAGAAAAAAGTTAACAGCAATAGGAGGTAATGTATTTATTGTTTCCAGGTTATCCAGCAAAATCATTGAATTTGTTTATGTACACCTATGTACACCAATAAGTGGTCAGTATTTCTTTCCTTTTTTAGAGCCAAAGAAGTACATGGTAAATAATTTATTGGAGAGAAGTATACTTATAATATTCTTACAGCAGTTACATCTTAAATATTTAAAGAGAGTGAGAAGTCATATCTAAAACAAAATTTTTCCGAAACGTTATATAATCAAATTTTCATTTTGTTTTTAAACCAGCTCAGTTATACCTTACTATGTTTATTTGATTACAGATGATGTCGACTTGATCATTGGATTAGGCATCGGTATACCTTTTCTTTTGATTGCTATTACAGCCATGTTCGTCATATTTGTTTATTGTAAAAGAAAATATGAGAAGAGAGATGGAACTGAAATCGATAGGTACATGTTAGAGCTTCATACGAGAACATTTTCATAATGCTGGCAAATAAAATGAGGAATCTAATCTAATAACTTTTTTTATTTCTTTGATTCCTACCCACTATTAATTTTTGAAACTTCGAACGTAGAAACTTACTACGACACTTTTTTAAAACTATTATCCCCATATACATGCATTTCCATATATTTCATTCTGCATGTCATGTACGTGCTGATAAAATTCATTTGAACAAGAAACATACTTTCTGTTACATTTTCTTGGGTTCTCTTCTGATTCAGTTATCTTTGTAGTTTCTGGTGGAACAACGACCCTAATGTATTTGATGACTGAGTTAAACTCATGCTAATATTCACATTCTATATTTATCATGACAGATCCTTTGAAGGAAGTTATGTCTTCGAATCAAGAATAACCGTAAGCAAAGGTGGCAAAGTTCCGTTTAGTTTAAAATTTCCATGGTCTTCGGAAAGCGATATTAGGAGAATGAGCAATATTACGATATAAAGTTCAAACGTCAAGCGCAGCTTGCACCAGGAAGGTAACACAGAGATTGGAAATGATGGTGGCCACACCAGGTGTTATCTTGGTAATATAAATGACTTGCGTATATACCATTTTCCTGTTACAATATACTTATGCATTTTCAATATGAAATCTTTTCTATAACTATTTTTTTAAAAATTTCTTCTCAATTTGAAATCAATATTTATATCAGAATCAAAGTATAAAATTGTAGTACTGATTAATATTTGTGAGTTCAAGCGTCTGATCGCAGCTTTCCTCAATCAATGGCTGCTTAATGACGCCTTGATTTAGTCAAACGAATAAGCAAAAGATGTCAAGTAAAACAAATATGATTAGGAATATGGATATTAAACATTCTAAATTAATGCATATTAAAAGATTCCTTATTTTCGAAATGTAGGATAAGGGCACAGCAGACAATCATAAAAAGATTGTTTTTAGTCTTCTGAAGCAAAACATGGTATAAATCAGTACTTTTGTGCAAGCGTTTCCATTTAGTGCATCCATATCATTGGTTAAAGTTAAATATTTGAAAGCGTGAAAAAATCAAAGATGAAACATTTTTAAAAATCTGATAACAATACAAATCTGTTGATAACATAAACATTGTAAACACGGACCCCGAATTTTTAGAAGTGAATCAGATGACTAGAATTTAAAAAAAAAACATGTTTATTCACTTAGCCCTATGTAGCAATGAAGTAGACGGAATTTACCGTGGTGAAATTTAGAACGAAATATAGGAGTTTATATAATACACGTATATCATCAATATTGCAAAGCAACGCTTGTATATGACATTATTCAAAGTAAATCCTTGAATGTTATTAAACCAATTTATTAGAAAATATCAAGCAAAAACCCAAAAAGCAGCCTTCTAAGTAATGGCTCTCATATGAGAAAAAAAATTCGAAATGTATGTTTCACAAACAAGAAGGATATAGAGGTAACGAACAGTATTCAATCTCAAAGTCCATAAAACAATACAAAAGAGGAGCAGAGCAAACAAGGACCTCCGAAACATCAGAGGTGGGATCAGGTGCCATGGAGGAGTAAGCATCCCCTGCTGACCGGTCAACAAACAAAATACTCAGCGTCTTACAAATAGGGTTCAATATGTGTCGTTGTACCGGTATTATTTTTTTATGTAATTTACTTAGGGTGTGGTTGAATACAGTACATGTAATATACTTATTTTTGTAGATCAAAGTACTACGGATTCTTTCTGGGATTTCACGCGATCGTATTTACCAACAGAGAAATCGGTTAGATTTTCTTTTTGAAAGACATATGAGTTTGAGTCTTAACTTTGAGATATTGCATGTTATTTTATTTATTTTTTTCAATTTCAGTTTGAAATAAGAAGACCTGTTGCTGATAGGAGACCTAATCCTTTGTTTGTAAGGATATGTTTATTCTTAACATCCATCTGTCTTGTACTGATCCTCCCTTTAATTTGTATTGATTAATTGATTTTGAAATAAACAATAGTAGAATGTAAATTTATATATTTATATTTTTCAGAGAGATTAATCAACAGCTATGCAAGTCAGCAGAGAAAACAATGTTGGTTTTTTTTTCGAGTGAAAATAAGCATGCTACTTTAGTTTCTTTTTGTGATATACATGTAGTTTTTCTAGATCAACACTGTCTAATGACCTATATGAAACTCTTGTATATAAATATTACCTTTTTGTTTGATGTGCTTTTTGAGAATAATTCATTTTATATAGGAAGGGATATCATATTAGACTATCAAGTATAAAAGGGGAGCTTTACTTGACATTTAGAATAGTTTTCTTTATTTACTTCTACAGGTAATAAATTGTTTCAACCTGTAGTTTTCTTTATTGATGTTAGGATCAGGGTTGATTGTTATTGTCAGCACATTTTGAATATATATGTTGATAATAATGAAATTACAGATGAAGTAGAATAATTCTAAAAAGTTTCTACAGACCCAAATTAAAATGCAGTTATGAACATTAACATAACGTTGTTTTTAGAAGGTTTTGTTTCTTATTGCCGAAAAATCAATAAACCAAGTACAAATGCATTTTTTAGTTCTATATTCAGCTTTTTCTTTTAGCTGTATTAAAAATGGAGGATGTTTTTATTTTTAATTTAAAGTAACGATAAATTATCCACAAAAGAGTTAATTTTGTTTTTTATCCATCGCAATAAAGAGGAATGTCTGTTTTAAATATTTGAAGATAACGAACAGAATATAAGCTAAAAAGTCCATTCAAACAATAAATATCAGAGATAAAGCATACATTGCTCTCAAATACATCAGAGGCGGAATCAGCAGTAAGTATCCACTGCCAACCGGTCACATCCATCTTGTGCTTCTTGACTTTATGTCATGTTTAAGAAATAACAGAAATAAACCGCTGGCAATTTGGTTTAAAAAGTCTAACAAATAGCATGAAAAATTTTGCTCGGCTCTGGACGTAATGTTACCTCTGATGTTTCGGAGGTCTATGTGTGCTCCGCTCCTATTTTGTATTGTTAATTGGACTTCTTAAATTCAATACTGTTCGTTGTCTCTGTATATTTCATGAAACAAATGGAGATAACAAAAGTGTTCAAGATTAGAATTCCACAAAACAATACAAAATAGGAGCTGAGCAAACATGGACTGCCAAAACATAAGAGGTGGGACCAGGTGCCGTGGAGGTGTTAACGTCCCCTGCTGACCTGTTATACCGACCGTGTGCTCCTTGTAATCATCAGGAAATAACGCAAAAATATGTTGTCAATTCAGTGAATAAATAATGGACTAATAATTAGTTTGAAAAAGTCATTCAGCATTTAATTCAATGATAAATTGTATTAGCTGACAACGAAGAACTTACGAAAGGATTACTTTAAGCAAGACTGCTGATATCATATTCATATAGATAGAAAAGTTTAAGTCATAACGTTTATCATAAAGCTTGGTTGTTAAATTACCATTTCAAGTAAAATACCTACATATGAAAAAGATGTGTCAGACCTTGTGGTATCTTTTATTTAAAGCTCACTGGGATATATCGTATCGACATAAGAATGGAAATAACCATTGTTAATTGACAATACGTCGTCGATATATCTAAATGTTGAGTTGAAGGCTACAGCAAGTGTTTTCTTCTTTTCAGTTATAAGATTTAGGAGGAAATGAAGATAAAAAACAGTATTCAATCCCAAAGTCCATTAAACAATACATAATAGGAGAAGAGCAAACACAGACCTCCGAAATATTAGAGGTGGGATCAAGTGACATAGAGGAGTGAGCATCCCCTGCCGACCGGTCACACCCGCCGTGTGCTTCCTGTCATGATCAGGAAATAACGGAAAAAATCCGTCGTCAATTCAGTGTATAAATAATGGACTAACAATTGGTATGAAAAACGTCAGTCAGCATTTGACTCAATGATAAATTGTATTTGCTGACAAGGTCATTGTATCGACCATAGAACTTACGAAATGATGACTTTAAACGAGACTGCTGATATTCTTGTTTCGTCAACTAGCTTGTCAATAATTTACCTTATTTAAGAAATTGTTCATACGTAGAGCATGCTCTTGCGTATCGAATCAACTGAGATATATATACTCCGTATGTAGGTGATGAAGGTATATTGCTGCATTAGTAAGGGAAGTTGACGATAGAAAAGTTAAAGTCATCACGTTTATCATATAGCTTGGTTGTTAGATTACCATTAGTGTCTTTTTCAAGTAAAATATGCAAGTATGAAGCAGAAGTATCTCAAGCTCACCAGGATATATCGTATCGACGTAGGAATGAACATTACCATTATTAATTGACAATGCATTAGTAAGGGAAGTTGACGATAGAAAAGTTAAAGTCATCACGTTTATCATATAGCTTGGTTGTTAGATTACCATTCGTGTCTTTTTCAAGTAAAATATCCAAGTATGAAGCAGAAGTGTCGGACTCTGTGATATCTTTTATGAATTATCTCAAGCTTACCAGGATATATCGTATCGACGTAGAAATGGACATTACCATTATTAATTGACAATACGTCGTCGATATATCTAAATGTCGAGTTGAAGGCCACAGCAAGTGTTTTCTTCTTTTCACGCATAAGATTCTGCATAAATTCTGCTTCATATGAATATAAAAATAAGTCTGTTAATAACGGAAGGCAATCAGTACATATGGGAATTCCAATAGATTGTTGGAATACCTGGTCTCGAAAAACCACACAGATATTTTCAATCAGAAACTCAAGCATCTTCTTGATGTCCACTTCAGAGTACTTATGTGTGAACTCAGAATCTGTTTTAACACAATAATTTTGCAAATGACCAATGCCGAGGTAAGTAAATTTACGAGTTCCATTTTTATTGAAGAAGCAGTTGTCAATGATATCAAAAAGCCTGGATTTTAATTTGTCGTTGGAATTGCTTTGTATAAAGTTGAAAAATCGTAAGTTTGTAAGCTGTTGATTTTTGTAAACTCATGTGATTTCAAATTGTCTAAAAGTTCTCGTTTCTTATTGTTTACACGTAAATTTCCTTATTTATTGCTGATGAAGCAATAAACCCAGTACAAGTGTACTTGTTTCAGTTCAATATTCAGTTATATTTACTTGCCTTATGCTTTATAATAGATAATGTTTTCATTTTTAACTCAGATTTATAATAAATCATTCAAAAAAGAATTAAAGGAGTTATTTATTTATAGGTTCTAGAGCGGAAAGTCTGCATAAAATATAAGGATATAACGAACATAGATGATTCTTCTAAGTCCAGTCCTCTGTAAACCGTTAAGTTTTCAAGACTGTTTTAGCCATGTTTTGACTTGAAAAAAGTTTCAAGTACGTTTTATTTTCAAAAGTATTTACAGACTTCAGGCCACAAGCTTTAGCTAGAGCATTAAGTTTGAGCTACAATAAAGGATCAAATATTTCACTTTGCTTATTTAGAAAAAACTTACATTGCGGATCAATTACTTTAATTTCAAGGCCCGTGTAGTCAGGCAGGTGGATGGAATTTCAAAGGAATTTTTTTTTCTAAAATTAAGTGTAGTTGATCCAAGATTCTACTGTGAAATTGATTTTTGAGCCTGATAACTGTTCGTTATCTTCAAATTTTATATAGCAGTTTCAATGGTAAATTTGGATCGACACGGTAGCTCAGTCGGCAGGGCACTTGCTCCGTGATTGGAATGTCGGGGATTAGAACCCCAGCCGCGACTGATCTAAGTCGATACAAAATAGACAGCAATTGTTCCTTCACCAAGCGCTCGGCAATTTGAAATGAAAATTGCGGGTCCTTCAGATGATACCTTAAAAAGGCTAATTTTGGCGCGATAAAGATCCGTTCCCTGAGTGTCGAGTAAAAGTCTAAATTTGAAGCCCTTCACCGTTAGATTGTGACGTCTCTATATGAGTGAAAAATTTCGAATGAGACGATAAACAACTTTCCTAATGGAAAGCGAGTAAAAGCAAGGTGTCTTTTCATAAGCCTTGATTTTGTGTGTTTGTTCATTTTTAGAGCCCCTTTTGGGAACTTTTTACTCATATTGAGACATCGCCTTATGGTAAGGGTGCAATTTATTTCATTCTCGAAAATCCTTAGTATAATAGTGATATGCGAAATTTCACATTATATATCAGTAAGAATAGAAATAAAGGCATGAAAACATAAATAAAAAACTAATAAAACAAAATTGACAATCCAAAATTTATTTCTTTAACTATTTCTCTTTATCAATCAGAAGATTTAGTTCACGAATCAACAATGTAAGCTATGCCAGTTCTTAAATGATTTTTAGAGAAATTTTCAGCATTCTGTTTAAATTTAAGACCTGTGTTTGAAAGACTTAATTAAAGAGACACCGTGACGCACAAAGGAGAAAATTGTCAAACGTCGAATTTTGCATGACCCGAGTAAATTTTGTTCAATTCCTAAAAGTATTAGGTTTCAGAAAATAACAGGTTTCAGAACCTAAAGAAATCACATTTATGGAAAAAATTAAGTATAAATAATTTCAGTATGTCCCATAACGAAAATATTGCTTTACTTCTTCCTGCCTATTGTACGCGGGCGCAGAAAATTGAATGTTATCATTGTTACCTTGGTCTCAAGTACCCAGGAATGAATGTAAGTAGACCAAAAAAATTTATGCAATCTTTTTAAAAAGTTGTTAAAGCATATTTCTCACCCTTGCATGCTCCAGTTGAATGTTGTTTACAAGTTAGATCTAAAAATAAAAGTGGCACGACCTTGACATACACGAAAACAACGAAAC